CTCCTCGAACCACTCACACCCAACCCAGTTTGTTTCGGCCTCCCTCCTCCCCGCCACGCTCCCTCATGTCCCATCCCCTCTCTATCGCCATCATGCTCTTACCTCTCCACCATAGTTCCCTACAACTCTTTTCCCCGCCATTACCAAGCACCTCAGACCATTACCCCTCCCCAGCACCACCTCTCCCCGCCATGCCACTCTCCACCAAACCAATCCCCATCACGCCACTTCCCACCACACCATCTTTTTCGGGCTTCTTTCGGGCCAGATCCCTTCCCCGCCCCCTCGCCGTCTCGCCCTCGCCTCTCTTTTCCCCGCCGTCGCTTCGCCGCCTTCCTCTCCCTTCTCCACTAGCGCCTAGCCGCGCCGCGCCTCGGTCGCGCACAAACGCCCCCAACCGGACGCGGGTGGGCCGTCGGAAGGCGCCGCGCCGGCGATTTATGGCCAGGCACCCCGCCCCGCCACGGATATTATGCGAAACTGCTTGTGCGGCGCCGATTCAGCCACCGCAACTGTCGGCCGGCGCCAGGCCCCAGCGCAGCGCTCGGCGAATCATGGCACCGCGCGAACTCCCGCGCAACTTCCTCAGATCTGAAGGGGACATTGGCAAACTGGAGACACCGGATATTTATATAATTACTATTTTTTTCCTTTTTTCTTACTCCTCAAAATTATAGCCTTGGCGATTCGTCGCCGTCCTAACACAACACCAATTTTTTTCGTTACTTATTTTTACATATTTAGTACTATATTACATATTTTACATATTTTGCTATTTTCACAAAATATGTTTTTATTCTATCAGTTTTTCTATACATTTTCTGTTAAAAAGAATGTTTTTAACCACCTCGATGAGAGTGCTGCACGCTCCAGGGATTGTTTGCTGGTCGTAGATATCGCCAGTTTGTACGAGTGGATCTATTTGTCTGCTCCTAAATTACGGCCCTGGATAGCAATGGGTGCAAATTCACCACTGGCGAGGAATTTATATAGTGCAAACTCTGAACTAACTTATGCTCTTCGAATAATTTTTAAAATGTTGGCACTATTTTTAATTTTGATTAGGAATATTTTTACACATGTATGAGTAATTTCGTATTATGTGAATGTGTTTTATAGTTGGTGAATTTTAATATCCGTACGTATTACATTCAATTTTACATGTTTATTACATATTTATGTCCATATTGTGAATTTGCATTCGTATCTTTCCGGCTCTACCGGACTTCGTCTGTCGGTTGCAGCAACAATAACCTAAACATTGGGCGAACTTTAATTTTTTATTTTGAGTACTACTTGTGCTAAAACAGCACGTACTTTATCACCCGTGCTTTTATGCAAAATAACACGAAAATTACTCAAATTTACGAAAAATTGTACGTGACCTTATTTCAAAAGCTGTCTTTACGGAACAATGTAATTAAGGGGGAAACCTTTAACTTCATAATTGTAGTAGTAGGAAGATGCCGAAACAATGTTAACTTTTTGCAGTTTTCGAAAAAAATCAGTGTTTTCAACGAACATGAGACTTGCATCGTTTTCTTAAACGCCCTTCTCAATATCCAACCACAAAATTTGATCAAAAACTTCGGAGTCAATTTTTGAAAATTTTGAAAATGTCCCGGGAGCTTCGTGTAAAGTACCCTCCAAAATTAAAATATCCGGTTTAAATTGAAGAGATCGGGACATCAGCCATATCGGTTGGATTATTTCAATTGCGAAGGAAATCAGCTGAAGAAAATCTGAATCAGAAATTTAGCCGCTAGCGTCGTTCACAGACTGACTGACGTTTTGTCGTCATTCAATTTTTCGGTATGAAGGACCCACGAAACATGGATTTTCGCTACATCATGAGTTAGAGGATTCTTTTCTAATTTCAATAACAAAGTATTCACTTTTTTGCTGCCAGAACTCTATAGTAAGAGTTTTCTGCTGAAACATCTCCGTGTTTTACGCAACATTACATACCTTTATCTCTACTGCCTAAGCAATAGTGAGAAAGTAAAAATAATGTCACTTTCTTACAGTGTATAATGTATTATTAAATCTGTTAGAGCTTCCCCGAACTGTGTGAGGTGATTCATACCTCAACCCTGCCCCTTTGCCCTCCTTTCCATTTCCCTTTAGTTCCCCGCCTCTTCGCCTTGCCGCCCGCCCGCTTGCAGAAAGAGATTCA